ATGTTAATCTTATAAATTTTGAGATAATATTTATGCTTTAATAAAAGTTTTAAAGAGTAAAATTAAGAACAAAGGATCATGAAATTAGTGACAATAGAACAGTCCCTTAATTTTTTTTTACTTTTGTCCCATACCAGGTAGCTCTTTTGAGATGAGACAGAAACTTTGGATTTTCTTTTAACAAGCATGCTTGGGTTTAGAGAAGAAGAGAGTCATGTTCCAACTCCAAAGCCAGCTTTAAATTTTAATTGAGTTGGGACTACAAAAAGACCATTTGCTTTATATGTCTGTAGAGAAGAGCAGAAACAAACATTTGGAATGATTCATGATTTTTTTCTGTTGGAAAATTTACTCTTTTTCTTGGGACATTTTCTCTGGATGATTTGTTCTCTTTTTCAGATGTCTTATTTGTCCAGTGGCCTTTAGATTCTTTAATTAGGTGCTTTTATTCTCCCGGAAAGACAAAAACAAAACCCTGCCCCAACTCTAACTTTGGGGAGTTTCCTTTTTTGGCAGGTTATGTCTGATCAAATGAGAGACATTTGTTAGTCTTAAAAGTTAATTTAGATGGAATGTTCATGCAGTTTGATGAACTATCTCCTTTCCTAATCAAGAGGTCTCTCCTGTTTGAATCTAATCTTTATCTATCTTGATGGTATCCATAGCTTTTCTTCTCCTGTGGAAACAAAAACAAAACCTCTTCCCAAATGTAACACATATCCTGGTTTCCATTCTGAGGTCAAGACACCTTTAAAGAACACAGGCTGATTTAATTCAGCAGTTCTTTCTATTATCCAATGTCTCTCCACAGCTGTCATTCCTTTTTCATTAGCATTTGAAAAATTTAAAGTTGATAAGGCATTGTGCAGTCTATCTCTAGGAGTCTTTATTGCCCCTTTCTGTTTATTGAGTATATCTTTTTTTAAGTGTGATTTGTAACATGAATTGCTAAATAGTTTTTTTTCCTAATAAAAAATCCCAGATCCAGATATTGGGGTAAATGCTGAAAGATCAGAGAGACAAGGAACAAGCCACCGCCACGTTTTACCTCTAGGACTCCTCAGCTTGAAAAGGCTTCAGTTCCTGTCTCCTCATGCCTTGTATACCTTTCTCCACTCAGCTATCACTTCCTTCTTAGTGCTAGGATTAAAGGCATGTGTGCTTCCCAAGCAAAGGCATGAGATCTCAAGTTCTGGGATTAAAGGCGCGTGACTTCCAAGTATTGGGATTAAAGGTGTGTGCCACAACTGCCTGACTCTGTTTTTCTCCTAGACTGAGTCAATCTCATATAGTCCAGGGTGGATTTGAACTCACAGAGATCCAGACGGATCTCTGCCTCCAGAGTGCTAGGATTAAAGGTGTGTACCACCACTACCTGGCATCTATGTTTAATCTAGTAGCTTGTTCTGACCTCTGGTTTTCAGGTAAATTTTATTAGGGTACATAATATATCACCACATTGATTAGATCTTTTTATAATTGCTTGTCCTGAGGATTGTGTGGTATACTTGTAATATGCTTTATATTGTAACATGCAAAAAACTATTTCATTTTACTAGGGACATATTCTGGAGCATTGTCAGTCTTAATTTGTACAGGTATCCCCATCATGGCTATAACTTCTAATAAATGTATAATTACAGAATCAGCCTTTTCCAAACTCAAAGCAGGTGCTCATTGAAATCATGAATAAGTATCCATGGTATGGTGCACACACTTTAATTTCCCAGACTCTGTAAAATGAAACACATCCATTTGCCAAATTTTATTTCTTTGAGTACCCTTTGGGTTACTTCTTGCAGATAGTGGAATTTGGTTATATAAAGAACAAGTAGGACATCTTCTTATAATTTCCTTGTCTTGTTGCCAAGTGATAGAAAAATATTTTTTCAAACCCTGGCTATTAACATGGTGTTTCTTATGAAATTCTGAGGCTTCTAGAACATTTTCTACCAATAGCTGATCAATTTCATCATTACCTAGTGTTAGAGGGCCTAGTAGGCCCTTATGGGATCTGATATGTGTTATATACAAGGGATGATTTCTATTCCTAATCATTTCTTATAATTGAAATAATAAAAAAAGTTAATTCTGAATCATCTGGAATAAATTCAGTGGTTTTGCTATGTAAAACAACTCTTTTTACATATTGAGAGTCAGTAACTATATTAAGAGCTTCTGGGACATCTAATAATACCATGAGAATAGCATATAATTCCGACTTTTGAACAGAATTATAAGGGCTTTGATCCACTTTACAAATTTCCTGACTTATAACCTGTTTTTCCTGGTTTATTTAGTAGTCTAGGAGTGGCAACAAAAACAAATCTCCTGCAACACATGGCCATGGCAACTCTTATAAAGGAAAATATTTATTTGGGGCTAACTTACAGTTCAGAGGTTTAGTCCATTGCCATCATGGCAGGATGTGGTGGCATTCAGGTGCTGGAGAAGGAGCTGAGAGTTTTACATCTTGATCCTCAGGCAGCAGGAAGTGAACTGAGACACACTTCCTCCAATAAGGCCACACCTATTCCAACAAGGTTATACCTCCTAATAGTACCATTTCCTATGAGCCTATGGGGCCCAATTACATTCAGGCTACCACAGTTCTCAATGATCTTTCTTTTGCTTGATGTAGTCACATGCTGGGTTTTTCATCATTCTATAATATCTGTTTGATTTTTATTTTTAAAAATTTCCTATCACTTGTCTCTCTATCTATGAATTTTTTTGAGATAGGGTCTCTCTATAGAGCCCTGTCTGCCCTAGAATTCACTATGTAGACCAGGCTGGCCTGTACTCATAGAGATCCACCTGCCTCTGCCTCCCAAGTGCTGGGACTAAAAGCATGTAACACCATGCCTGGCTTGATTTTTTTGTTGTTGTAGTTGTTATTCAAAATCTTACTTTCCTTTCTGTAGTTCTCATCCACGTTGCTATCAACCTTGAGCCATCCTGAGCTGGGTGGGAAGCCTATGGCTCACAGACATTGTTCTTAACTCTAAAACGGTTTTTTTTTTTTTTTTGCCATTTTATCATAGAACTTGGGATGGGTTCAGGATAAGCCCTGTTCTAATGCCTTGTGGCAGGTGTGTTTGTTCCCTAACACACACACACACACACACACACACACACACACACACACACACGCACCGGTAAAGGACCTTTGTCTGCACTGTTGTGTACTGTTCTTTACAAAGACAAAGCCAGTGCATGGTCGATCCCTTGGTGTTCTGTTACTGATCCCTGGGGCTGAGATTTGGGGAGGGCTCCCACCTCATTTTATGGAGAATGGAATTCCAAGAGTAGAGAGTCTTGGGAGTGTCAGGCTCCTTGTCCCCCAGCTTTCCCTTACGTGAGAATAGTTATGTTAGTGGAGAGCTATGGACTTAATTCTAAATTAAATGATTCAGCTGTCATGAGGGAATGTGTAGGAGCACCAGTCACAGCTAGGAAACTCAGTTTCCCACTGCCAATGTGTCCTTAAGCCATTGAGGTGACTGCAGCATGGTGCCTGAAACTTCATGTGAAAGGCTGGGTGACTCATGCTAAATGAGAGAAGAGCTTAGGGTGTGTGTGTGGCGTGAACCTTGAAAGCTGACATGGGAAAAATAAACCTAGACCACATGGAAGCAGCATCCAAAGTTCTGAGCTGTCTGCTGAGAAACCTTCCTTCTGCTTCTTCATTCTTGAGATGCTGGTGATGTCATCGTGGTGGGGGATAGCACGTCCAGCCTAACAGAAGGCAATCCTGCGTTTCCCCAGACCTGGCAGCTCCTGTTGTAGGTGCCAATTGATGGGGCCTTAGAGAGACTTTGCAACATTTTTTAATGAGCTACCAATTAGGGCGTCCAGGGTCCTGTGTGGAGGTTGCATCCCCAGGGCAGTGTGACTCTTGATTATGGCCCATTGAGGTCTTCATATCTCCTGAACAGCCTGAACTCGCTGTCCTGGGATCCCAAAGTTGTAGGGAAGAAACGGACTTCCGGTGGCAAGGGCATTCATACTACCTCCAGGGTCCAATTTTGTGCAGCTTAGTCCCTGACATGAGGCCCAGACCCCGTGTGATCAACTCCATACAACTCTGTGGCTACAAGCCTCGTGCTGGTTCGTGGTACCCTAAGGGAGTTCCAGAGGTATGGGCCTCAGGGTGGGGGTGGGGGTGTCTCAATGTTGATGCTCACAGAGCTCAGAGTTGGGCCATGTTCCAAACCACATGCTCATTAGTGGCAGTTCCTTGCCTGGATCACAACTTTTTCCTGTACCTCCGAGGAGCAGCCCCAGTATGGACCAGGCAAAACCAGTCTGGATTGCTATGGTTGCAATAGCTCTTTCTAAAAGGCTGTAACAGTGCTAGAAGAGGACAACTCACAAATTGTTTCCCAACCTGCCCGAGTATGTAGGATGTCACTGCCCTATTTACACAGAGGGAAACTGAGGCACAGAAAATCTTCCAGTGGCACCCAGCGTCCGGTGGGCAGGTAAACTGCACCGTATGTGCAGAGATCTGGCCACTGCTCCACAGGTGTGTAGGCACCTGGCCTGGATTTCAGTGCCAGGAGACAGCCAGTATAGGTGAGAAGTGTGGTGCCGCCCAAGGGCAGGGGGGCCGCCCTCGGGACTCCTCTAAGCCCCCAGGGCCTGGCTGTTGCCAGATACATAATTGGCAAAAGTGTCCTCACAGGCCTGGATTGGGGAAAGGCATAAAAAACCAAGTGCAAGAAGCTCTGTCTGCCAGGGCCAGGGCTGGCCTGGATCTCATGGGCAGGTAGAGATACCTGCCACCTGATCCAATGCTTGTTGGCTGGGCTAGAGAGGATTGCAGCAGCCTCAGGGTGGGTGCTGGCCACTACACTACATGGCTGACTGCTGGAAGAGCTTGGTAGGGATACTATCTGCTCAGGCTTCTTCCCTGGAAGAGCTATGTGGCTGCTGTTTGAAGTAAGGCTGGAGGACAAGGAGCAGAGCATTGGAGATGCAGCAGCTCCCTTTCATGGTCCTTTATGCATCAGGCCTGACCTGGGTGGAGCTCGTAGTGGTCACTCTCCAGTGACCATAGCCAGGGCTGCTTGAGCAGGGCAGTCTTGTGCACCTGGGGCCAGGCAGTCTGTCAAAGAGATATGCTCAAATGCCAAGTAGGGGGCACATCCCAGTGTTTTTATTGGTAGGTCAAATCTACTATTGGCCACAGCAATGGATGGCCAAGGCAACAGGAGGAATTTAACTGCTCCTTAAATATCCAGAGTGGCCTGTGACTATGGCAGGTAAGCAGCAGCGTTGAGCCCATAGAAAATCCCAGAACAAGTCAGAGGTCAGCTAGGCTGGAGGCTGCTCTCTGTGCACTTGGCCCAGTGTATCCGTGCCCAGAGAGTTTGGCATTGCTAATGCTGACCTTTCTGGACTCCAGCTTAGGAGGCCATGCTGAAGACCTGGGTGGATAGTCCTGCATCCCTTACCTCCATGGGGACTGAAGCCATCCCTGAGCTAACTTGGACAAGGGAGTTCTCATACTTGCAGGCCCATCCCTGATCCCTCAGGAACCAGGCCACTTTAGGGTATATGGTTAGTCATATTGCCTCTTGACTCATAAGCACTATGCATTAGGTGATGGCCTCCACTCTGGCTTGGGACCAAGATCTGCAACTTCAAACTTGTCTTCTGAGCCTCAGGGAACACCTGCCAGATGCAATTGTGTGGGATGATGGCCAGGGTGACTCTAATGTCTGGATGTCCTTCCGGCACAGGTAAGTAACCTGCCCCCCATCCGTGGCTTTAGGGTGAGAGGGAAATGAGAAGACCTCAAACCTATCATTGTGTTTTGGGTATAAGAAGAAGCAGGAGGCTATAATAGTGCAAATGTCACACCAAAGAGTGTCACCTTCCAGGTGGAGCAGGGGTTGTCAGTGTCTTCTTTTTGGCCCTTGCATTATGATTGGCAACTGTGAAAGACATTTTTCTAAATGAGAAGCTTGTCTGAGTTTGGGCTGAGAGAGGAAGACAGTGTCATGGAGGTCAAGACTGACTCGCTGAGCAGGTCAGATGTCACTGGCATGATAGAGGTACCCATGGGCTTGCAGGGGTGATGGCCAGGGAGGCTACTGGGGATTCTCTCAGTATGTAGCATGAATTGTTAGAAGGTCTTATTAATAAAAACAAACCTGGGAGCCAGATATTGGGGTGAACGCTGAAAGATCAGAGAAAGAGAACAAGTCACAGCTAACCTCACCTCGCCAATTTCTCAGCTGATCCTGTTTCCTCAAACTGGAAGCCTCTGTGTCCTCACCCGAATGAATCTCAGTTGAACTGGGGCTAAAAGCCTAAAAGCTTAACAAACCTAGTTCCTGGTCCTCATGTCTTATATACCTTTCTGCTTCCTGCCATCACTTCCTGAGATTAAAGGCCTGTGTCACCATGCCTGGCTGTTTCCAGTGTGGCTTTGAACTCACAGAGATCCAGATGGATCTCTGTCTCCCAAGTGATAGGATTAAAGGTGTGTGTGCCACCATTTTCTGGCCTCTACATCTGTCTAGTGGCTGTTCTGTTCTCTGACCCCAGATAAGTTTATTAGGGTGCACAATATATTGGGGTGGGGACACAATATCACCACCCAAGTATCTGGAATAGACCCAAGGTAGTACAATGTGTTTTGGTTGCAGACTTGTGCTGATTATGGACAGCTATGTAGGGCTGCTGTGACTCTGGGGACAGGACTGCAGCCAAGGCACCCAAGGCACCTTCAGGTCTTCTGGGTGAAGAACTGTTGGCTTGTGGCCAGTAAGAGGGTAAGAACCAGCAAGTAGAGCATGGTGGTCCAGAAGGTGGGGCATGGGTCAGAGGGGCAGTTTAGGTGAATGCATGTGAGTGTGTATGTCTGTGTAGTGTGCATTTGTGCATGGCTAAAAGAGGGAGAAATGGCAGGAAGATGCCTCTGGGCTCTGAGCCAGAAGATGAGCTGATGTTTATGCAGTCAGCCCAGGAGCAGCTGGCTCTGGGAAGGGGTTGGGGGAATGCGCTGATACTCTGGGTTTTTTGGGTTGCAGGACCCATTAAAAACCATTTTTACCCACTAACACATCCATGCACACTGTAGCACCTCGGCTTACCCATCAGTCTCTGGCTAGGAGAAGTGAGAGCAACAGCTCAAAAATTATTTGTTATTCATTTAAATGTGTGTGTGTGTGTGTGTGTGTGTGTGTGTGTGTGTACATGAATTCATGAATTCATGAATCTGTTTTTGCCTTCCACCATGGGTCCTGATGACTGAAGTTAGGCTTGGCAGCAGGTGCCATTTCACAGGCTCAGAGGGACAGCTTTTTAAATGCAAATTTTAGGAAGCCTGGCTCATTCCTTTCTCACCTGATAGTTTAAGGTTAGAGCCTGAGACAAAGGGGAGCTAGAGGAGAAGGAGGAAGACGAGGAGGTTTCCTATGGGCTCTCCTACTGAAGGCATTGTTCTCTGTGTGGGGCATTTCCCTGGTGAGGTGGGAATGCTCTACAGGGGCCTCATCTGTGTGTGGGACGACAATGCTGGAGAGCAAGGCATTTCTAACTTCACTTGTGGAAACTCAACAGTTCCTGTCTTCCTCTAGGTTCCTTGACTCTGGAATTAGGACCTCTCTCCCCCAGGTGACAGACACTGCAGGATAAGGACCCGGTGTCCCCGTCTCCCCTAGGCGACAGGCACTGGCTAGAAAGCATGCATACCTGGCTGAGTGGCTCCCTGCTGCATGGACATGGTTTATGCTGCATATCCAGTTACTCCTAAGGGAGACTGGGCTTACTTGGGTCCTGGGATCGTAGGACAAGGTGAGTAGACTCTGCAGAGAACAGAGAAGGGCCAGACCCTTCACTTCCTGAGCCCCCTTCTTGGAAGCTTGGTAGTCCATGTCCCCCAAATATTCAATGGCTTGGGGTGCTGGCCAGAATCTGTCCACACCTGGACCGTTCATCTTGCTGGGCTTCCCCGGGCCACGGAGCCTGCGCATTGGGCTTTTCCTACTTTTCCTGGTCATGTATCTGCTCACAGTAGCTGGAAACCTAGCCATCATCTCTCTGGTAGGGGCACACAGATGCCTGCAGACACCCATGTACTTCTTCCTCTGCAACCTTTCCTTCCTGGAGATCTGGTTCACCACAGCCTGTGTGCCCAAGACGCTGGCCACTTTTGTTCCCCTGGGTGGAGCCATCTCCTTGGCTGGCTGCGCCACACAGATGTACTTCGTCTTTTCTCTGGGCTGTACCGAGTACTTCTTGCTGGCGGTGATGGCTTATGACCGCTACCTGGCCATCTGCCTTCCACTGCGCTATAGTGGCATCATGACACCTGGGCTGGCAACACGGTTGGCCCTGGGATCCTGGCTGTGTGGCTTTTCTGCAATCACAGTGCCCGCTGTCCTCATTGCCCGCCTCTCCTTCTGTGGCTCCCGCGTCATCAACCATTTCTTCTGTGACATTGCACCCTGGATAGTGCTGTCCTGCACTGACACACAGGTGGTGGAGCTGGTGTCCTTTGGTATTGCTTTCTGTGTCATTCTGGGCTCCTGTGGTATCACTCTGGTCTCCTATGCCTACATCATCACTACCATCATCAAGATTCCCTCTGCTCAGGGCCGGCACCGTGCCTTCTCGACCTGCTCATCCCACCTCACAGTGGTGCTTATTTGGTATGGCTCCACCATATTCTTGCATGTGAGGACCTCGGTAGAGAGCTCCTTGGACCTCACCAAGGCTATCACAGTGCTCAACACCATTGTTACACCAGTGTTGAACCCTTTCATATATACCCTGAGGAACAAGGACGTGAAGGAGGCTCTGCGCAGGACAGTGCAGGGAAAGTGAGCCACTGCCCGCATGCAACTCCCCTCAGAGGCTGCTCTGCAGGACTTGCATTGACTGTCCTGCGGGCCAGTGTCAGTGTTCAGCACCTTTCCCCCTACACGGCTTAGAACAACAACCGTCCCAGTTTCTACTCTCATGGCTTTGTCCAGGAATGCTTGCTGAGCTGCTCCTCCCCCGCCCCTCCCCCCAGTTTCAGAAAGATTCTGGAAGGGAAAAAGAGGAACAGGGTTCTGGGTCCCTAGGAGATCCCTCTCAAGGAATATAAATATTGGACACTGCACCAGTTCTGGCCAGACTCCCTACTAGGTCTGCCTCTTGGTCCAATACAATCTTCACCAACCTACAGATGCCAGCAAGCCATATCTGGAGTCTCCAAGAAGGATATGCTAGGCTATCAGGAGTTCATGCTTGCAGAGATTAACCATGGTGACAAAAAACAAAACCAAACCAAAACAAAAAAGCCCCCAAACCAAGCATAGAAAGCTGAGAGGAACCTGGCAACCTGCAAGGGCTCTTTGGACTCACACTAGGGTCTCAGGGCACTTACATCACATGTCATACCTTTTTGGGGGTGGAGGTACAGGAAGGGGTCAGAGGGATCATGGGGCCCTGGATACCTGTGTGGCTTCAGGCTCCGGTTGGAATTGAGGAAGGAACTGGGGTAATTCTCTTGTACATGGGTACTCATTCTTGGAGCGGCACAGAAGGGGTTTGTCACATCACTATTCTGAACCCGTGTCTTCATCCACAAATGGGACCATGACAGTACTGTCCCAAGGAACCCTTGTGAGTATGAATGACAGAGTGTGTCCAGAGTGCTTCGAGCCAGGGCCAGAAAATGCCATTAATATTGTTTCATAATTTAGTAGATAAAGCCATGTAGACTGTTCTATTTGTTTATTTAGAGACATTGACTAATGTGTCTCAGGCTGGCTTCAAACTTGCTGTGTAGCTGAGGATGACCTTGAACTTCTGATCCTCTTGCCTCTGGCTCCCAGTTGTTGAGTTTACAGGGGTGCACCACCAACGCTCAGGTTGTGGTACTGGGACTTGAAGCCAGGGCTTCGTGAATGCCAGACAAGCACTCTACTGACCAAGTAACCCCCCAGCTCGCAGACTGTCCTGTTCCCTCATTTTATCTTAGACAACCAACAGAGCCTGGGAGCTCTATCTTGTCCACCCTGATCTCTCAGCCCCGAGGGACCCCAGAGAGAGCTGGACTCCTTAGGGGGCCTGCATTGAAAACAAGTGGTTGCTCACCTGAATTTGGAGAGACATGAGCTTCCTGAGCCTGCCTGGCCCGTATAGAGGGCTGCTGTGTGATGGGTCCAAGCTCAGCACGCAACTTACTCAGGAGGGATTATTGGGTCAGAGGGTGCTGGAGCAGGTCTACTGGTAGGCCCTCCATATCCTCTCCAATATCACTTCTGGGGCTCATCACAGGCTGCCTCATTTAACACTCCTCTGGCCCCATGTCCTAACCTTTATGCTTCCCTGTTCTGTCCAACCCAAGGCCAAGGCCTATATGATCCACTCTTTGACTTTTCTCTTTACTGTCTTCCAGAAGGGAAGCTCAAGTAGGGCATAGAAGCTCTTCTCTGCAGTGACCCCTGCCCAGAATGGAGCATAGGTGCAGACACCACCCACCTAGAATCCCCCATCATCCAAGGTCTGGAGCCAGAGGATGTGCTGACCCTAAGGCTTACACACTCAACTGGACTTGCACACTCAGGCATCTCTGCTGCTGGCACTTGTGTATTCCATTTTTGTGGTTACTTTCCAAATGATGAATTAAAGAGCATCGGGTTCAGCCATTCATGTTTGATGGAGACGTCAATCACACACTACACCAATGTGGTTTCACGACCTCCAGCCACTCTCGGGGGACAGGGGTAGTGTTCAGTGTCTGTGTTCTGCTGTGCAACAGCCTCTTTGCTGCTGGCTAGCCAGACACTCCGGGATCCCTAGTGATGTACCTGAGGCATAGAGCAGGAACAGCACTCAGGGACTCCTTAGGCCCCTCCTCTGTCATCCTGACATGGAACTGCTTTCAGGGACTTCTTTACCAATTCCTCTCCTTGGAAACTGTGGCCACTAGTGGGTGGCCCCAAGAAAGAGAGACAGAGTAGGTGATTGGGGGCAGGGAGGCAATCAGTGCCTTCCTGGCTCTCTCACTTTGGGTCAAGGTGCTGGATGCAGCCTTGGGTGGAGGGTCCCACCCTTGGGCTTAACCTGGCAGAGGTCATCAAGTACCTCTCATCTTTGATAATGTCCTAGATTTTTATGGGCTGTGACAAGAGGCCACACTGTGCAGTGCTCAGGGTTTTGAGTGGGCCCTGCAGTGTGCTCTGAATAGGAAGTTCTGGGGAGTCCAGAGCCCCCTGGGACCTCGCATTTCCAAAGAAAGCATCTCCCAGAAATTCAACATTTTGGCACAGAATTTATTTCCTAGGTTTGGAAATTACACAATTTTTGAATGGTGACTGATTTTTCCCATATGGTGAGTGTATTAGTCAGGGGTGTCTCTAAAGCAGATGTTCTCAACCTGTGGGTTGCAACCCCTTCGGTGGTCAAACGACCCTTTCACAGGGGTCACATATCAGATATACTGCATATCAGAAATTTACATTATGACTCATAACAGTAGCAAAATCACAGTTGTGAAGTAGCAACAAAAATTTATGGTTGGGGGTCACCACAGCATGAAGAACTGTATTAAAGGATCACAGCATTAGGAAGGCTGAGAACCACTGCTCTAAAGGAACAGAGTTGACAGAATGAACACACACACACACACACACACACACACACACACACACACACACACACACCACGGGATTTATTGGAGTGGCTTGAAGTTCCACATCACAGTCCTTCCCTAATGTATTCAGGGCAGGAACTCAACTCAGGAAACTGAAGGCAGGAACTAAAGTAGAAGCCATGGAGGAGTGTTGTTTACTGGATTGGGCTTTCTCATTTGCTCTGTTTGTTTTCTTATGCATCCTAGGACAACTTGCCCAGTGGTGGGCACCACCCATAGTGGACTGGGATCTTCCACATTAACCCTTAATCAAGAAAATGTCTTACGGATTTTCCTATACATAATCTGGATGAAGGCATTGTTTCAATTTGAGTTTCTCTTCCCAGATAACTCTACCTTATGTCAGGTTGAAAAAAAATCTAACCAGGACAAAGAAGAAATCTCATAGCTGTGTTGTTCCAGGCCAGTGGGTAGCAGCCGTATTTCCATGGCAACAGGGAGGCTGTTTAGTGATTGATGGTTTGTCTTTACTGATCTTCCTTGGTTGTCCATTCATTCATTCCTTCATTCATTCACACATAAATACTTATATTTTCAGGTCTTAATTTTTTTGAGAAAGGGTCTCATTATGTAGCCCTGGCTGCCCCCAAACTCACAGAAATCTGTGGTATTGTGTTCCCCAAAATATTGTGCACCCTAATAAACTTACCTGGGGTCAGAGAACAGAACAGCCACTAGATATAGAGGCCAGAAAATGGTGGCACACACCTTTAATCCTAGCATTCCAGAGGCAGAGATCGTCTGGATCTCTGTGAGTTCAAGGCCACACTGGAAACAACCAGGCATGGTAACAAGAGCCTTTAATCCCAGGAAGTGATGGCAGGAGCAGAAAGGTATTTAAGGCATGAGGATGAGGATCTAGAGCTGGTTAAGCTTTTAGGCTTTTGAGCAGCAGTTTAGCTGAGATCCATTTGGATGAGGACTCTGAAGCTTCCAGTCTGAGGAAACAGGATCAGCTGAGGAATTGGTGAGGTGAGGTGGCTGTGGCTGGTTCTGCTTCTCTGATCTTCCAGCATTCATCCCAATACCTGGCTCCAGGGTTGTTTTTATTAAGAACTTTTAAAATTTGTGCTACAGAGATCCACCAGCGTCTGACTCCATGTACTGGGATCAAAGATGTGTACCACCACACCTAGCCCCACTATTTACAATTTTTAAACACTTGTTTATTTACTAATATGTATCTTTTAATTTTATTTCTGATTAATAATAATTGTATGTACTGTTGAAGCTCAGTGTAATACTTTCAGGACATGTTCACATTTTCAAATGAGCAAGATATGTCAGTATTCTGTTGGGAATTTTTGTGTCTGTGCCCATGGGAGATGCTCACCTATTGTCCCCTCTCATAAAGTCCTAGTCAGGGTTGAGTGGTCATGTGATATTGGTATTGCAGAGTGAGTCAGGAAATGCCTCTCTGTTATCCTTAGAGAGATTTCAGAGAACTGTATAACTTCAACATGTTTGGCAGAATTTACTAAGGAACATGGCTGGGTCTGGGACTTTCTCATTGGAAAGATTGTTGATTTGTTCATTTTTTTTTCAGGGGACATGTGAAACTTTTAAAGAATTTGAGAAACCCTAATTGATTTGCCTCATTATTAAAGCATACATGTCTATGCATATTAGTAGTTTAGTATATGTTTAGATGGTTTAGAGACATTTCCTTATTCACTCATAAAAATACAATCACAGTGCTAGAATTTTGTACCCTCCTGGAAAATATTCATATTTATTTGCCAGTATCAATTCTTCCTAGACAGAGGATCCTGAGAACAGATCAGCAGTTCTTATCTGTGTCAACCATCAACACTGTCATCCAACCATCCCCCAGCTCAATAAGTCAGCTACCCATCCAGCAACCCATCCATTTACCTAATTCTCTGTTTCTTCACCCACACATCCATCTATCCACTCACCAACCCATCCATCCATCCATCCATCCATCCATCCATCCATCCATCCATCCATCCTTCCATCCATCCATCCATCCATCCATCCATCCCTCCATCCAACCATCCATCCGACCATCCATCCATCCATCTACCCACTTACTCATTCATTTGTCCACCCATCCATTCACCCACCCATATCTTCTTCCACCAATCCAACAATCTATAAACTCATCCACTTAACTATTTACACACCCATCCATTCACTTGCCTATTCATCCATCATACATCCTGTGGTGGTATTGTGTTCCCTGAAATATTGTGCACTCTAATAAACTTATCTGAGGCCAGAGAACAAAACAGCCACAATATTAAACATAGAGGTTAGGCAGTGGTAACACATACCTTTAATCCTAGCATTCCAGAGTCAGAGATCCGCCTGGATCTCAGTGAGTTCAAGGCCACACTAGAAACAGCTAGGCATGGTGACTCATGCCTTTAATCCCAGGAACTGATGGCAGAAAGCAGAAAGGTATTTAAGGCGTGAGGATGAGGAACTAGATGCTGGTTAAGCTTTCAGGCTTTTGAGAAGCAGTTCAGCTGAGATCCATTTAGATAAGGACTCAGAGGTTTCCAGTCTGAGGAAACAGGATCAGCTGAGGAATTGGCAAGGTGAGGTGGCTATGGCTTGTTCTGATCTTCCAGTGTTCACCCCAATACCAGGCCCTGAGTTTGTTTTTATTAATAAGACCATTTAAGATTCATGCTACAACACCCATTAATCTATCCACCCATATCCACTCTTCCACATATCCACTTGTTCATCTATCTATCTATCTATCTATCTATCTATCTATCTATCTATCTATCTATCTATCTATCTATTCATCCCCCATTCATCCACCAACCCACCCACTCATTGAAGGTTAAATCTTTTAGTCTCTAGGACAGGGTTGAAGTAAAGAAAGATTTTTCCTGCTGGACCTATAGACTCTGGATGCTGTTCATCTGCATCTGTTATTCCAGTATCATTTCCTTTAAGTGTGCCATAGTCTTAATCTTGAGCTCATGTGTTTCTTGTCAGTTCTTAGTTTAAAAGGGTATTGTTGGTAGGCTACTTTATCTCCTAGGGTTTATGTGAGATTCACTTGAACAAGCACTAATTTTGAGATCTAAGGAAGCTGTGTGCTCCAGTCTAATTTTATTTATGAGTTGTGTCTCTGTCTTTACTTTAATTATTGTTTATGGAGGTATTCAGTCAATTAGTCAGTCAATAAAAACTTCAATAACCCCGTGTTTGCCAGAGCTAGGTTAAGGGAATGGGTTATTGCTCCAATTCCATTGTTCTGGCTCTGGATTCCTGTCTCATTATGGATGCGTGGGATGAAAGCTCATGAGTTAGTTTGAGAATACGCCTTTGCTCCCATTGAGATACAGAACATACTCATATTTAAGATAAAAATTCATAGAGTCTGATGTATTGGCACATGTCTGTAATTCTAGCCCTTGGAGGGGCTAAAGCAAGAAAGATTGTCATGAGTTCCAGGCCAGCCTGGGTTACATATGAAGACCTTGCCTCAAAACAAAGCAAAACAATGAAACAGATCAGGATCCATATTAAATATTAAAATTTCCATCTTTGTTCATTGTTTTCTTTATTCTAGGTGTAGGAATGTTCCGTCGGGTTAGTGCCCACCTTGCTTTGGGACCCTGTTCCTCCCCAGGACAAGGTGGCCTTGGGTTGCTCAAGACTGTGGTTCCTGCTCAGGCCTGTCCAGGAATGCAAGTGGTACATAGACATATATGCAGACAAAACACCTATACATGCTGAAAAATAAATAAATAAAGAACCACTGCGAAGGCTGCACTTGCATTGTTGGGGACACCCGAGGACACTCCAGGTGCTCTTCCTGACAGACCCACAGCTCAAACTCCTGAGGGTCTCACCAAAGGGTGGGCCAGGTTTGCTCCTTTGACAATGGTGTGACAAGTGCCTATGGAGTTTTGGAGTTGGTCTGGGGTTGAGTCCTTGCACTGAGGCTGAGCCCGTGACCTTCCACGTGCTGAGCTAGGGCCGCACCACTAAGGTACACACCTATCCCCTCTTCCTAAATTAAAATGAAGTCATCTCACAAAGTCATGGATGTCTCTGTGGTGTTTTCATGTGTGCATGCCATTCTACTTTGTTCTGATGTGTATCCCGATTCCCTCCCTGTCGCCTCGGTTCCTCTCATTGAATACGCGTGTCCTGTGACACGTATTCAACTCCTTAACCTCTGCTTAAGAGCTGTCTTAAGGTCATGGCTTCAGCTCCATATATATATATAATTAAAAAAATATATATATTTTAATTTTATTTATCTTTCTATTTATGTGTCTGTAGGTATCCCCCTAACCGTGTGTGTGTGTGTGTGTGTGAGAGAGAGAGAGAGAATGTCTGTGCACATGTGTGTGAATTTGAGTGTGTATATGAGCAAATGTCTGTGTGTGTGTGTGTGTGTGTGTGTGTGTGTGTGTGTGTGTGTGTGAATGTCTATGCATGTGTGGGTGCAGTGGAGGCCAGAAGAAGTTTGGATTTCCTGGAGTTGGAGTTACATGCAGCTGTGAGCTGCTTACTGTGGGTGCTTGGAAAAATATTCCAGTCCTTT